CCTTATCAATCGGCGCGGTTATCACGTATCTTGAAAAGTGACATTACGCTGTTTTTTTTTGACATTATGCTGGTTTTTGTTGACATTATGTAGGTTATTCTACAAGATGCTAACTTAGCACTTAGTTGTACGTGTTTCCTAAACGTCATGAGGCTTGTTATCAATCTTTGGCTCTGATGTGATGTAAAATCTGCTTCTGAGATGGCGTTACTGGAGGTCTAAGCTGTAAGTGGAATGTGTTGATGATAATTACATTGGGTTCTTGTCTCAAATACACTTAATTGAGATTCAAAGCTAGAAATTAGTTGCGCATCCACTTTTTCTTATCCATTCTGGAAATTACATATACAAATTTGCTGAATTTCAAAAATGGGAGAGATAAGAAATAATTATATTCACTGTTCAATGTCGAATTACAAGCCATATACATGCTAACAGTAATTACACACAACGCGGGCGCGGTGATGATGTCCGGTAATTCTCCTCAGTTTTTCGTAATTTATAACTTTGAACATAACCTCTCTTCAGAAACCACAACATATAAATAACCCGTCCTATTCGGCATATTCAGAAACGATTTTCTCACACAGCAAATATCACTGATTTTATACACATGCAGACCAATACACATAATCATCCAGATGCGATCTTGCTATTCAACCAACTTTCTTCTCAGAGATAAAAACTACAGACCCGGATCACTCAGTTTCACAAAACTATGCAACCAATAATGCGTAGTTTAGTTGAGTGATTCCTCCATAGATGGATGTTCACAACAATCCTAGTGAGCAAACGTGGAATGACTGTTTGCGCCCTAAAAACTACCTAGTCTGCAAGTTGACATTTTATAGGTTTTTTTGGAAGTTTTATAGGTTTTTTACATGATACCCGTGCGGGACGGTAGTACAATTAAGGAACATAGAATATTGATAAATATTAATGACAAGGTCCGAAGTGGAAGATTGGGATTGAACTATATTTGCTCTATATGCTTTTATAGGGCTATCATAACTTTCATCGTTACAATTATATCAATATAAAAATTGACCTCTATCAAGCTATATCCATAAATTATTTTTACTCAACTAGCATTTTCGTTATTTACTCATAGAAATTTGACAAATGATTATTTCATAAAATTGTATGGTGGTTCCCTCCATGGTACCACTTCCAGATCAATCTATTAACCGTGTACGTTCAGAGATATCTATAATTTGGAAAGTTAACGGATACTATGAACTGGATTTTTCCAAATTTCAATTTAAAACTTATGAATCTTCAAAACATGTTCAAAATAACCAGGTACCACTAGCTAGAATGCAGGACTACAAAATTCTCATCACGGACTGCTAGATTCAAATATACTAAGATCACTTCTCTAAATTCAACAACTCTGAGGATGACCTGGTTTGCTCGATCTCCAGATTTCCAGACTTCAAATCCCTAGTTTGTCTATTAATAGAGTTTTTAGTGCATTTCGTTCTCGGATATGAAAATGCAAAGTCATGTTGCTTACGATGAACAAGACAGAGCTAATTACATTAGGTATTTTTTTCATAAATTAGTGCTGATGTCGGAATTCGTAAACCTGAAAAATGTTTAATATAGATAATAAATATATACACGAAATGAGCAATGTTCTAAGTGGATTAAATTAACCTGATTTTAGTTCTGATATTCTAATTCTGCTGGATTTGTGGTCATTTATCGTTTTGTGATTCTATGATTCTAAACTTTAAAGTTCCTTGGCCGACTTAGAGTAATAATAAGACACATATTAGGGAAAATTTCTCAAAAAAAAACAAAAATCTCAAATTTTGGGGTTAGATTATGACACAATGAAAAAAAAAATAAGTAGCCTGTCCCGTTTGTCAGTAGTCAAAGTACCACAGTTCACTTTGGTGGTACTAAACATGTTTTCCGACCGTCGTTATTTGCAATTGTGCATCACTGTATTTGTAAAAACCCCGCGGTCTACAAGAAGGAACTTGCATTTTCAATAGTTTTAGTGAATTGAGCAGTATCTCATGTGATTTTTGTATGTTTTATCGAAATTTTCTTTTCCTTATATCTCCTAAACAAAATGGTTTTAAAGAACATAATATAATAATATAAAAAGTAGGACGACTTCAATTTTATGACATATTTTCTCTCTGAATGTAAATAAAATAAACGCACATAGCAACTATTCAGAAGCTTATTCCACTCGTCACTTGTTGCATAGTGATCCACCAACACACCTTGAAGAAACCATCAAACTCACATAAAATTCGCAATCTGTCTAGCACATTATCTCATTGGATAATCTACTCCATAAAAATCTGCTGCAATTTTGCAATTGGTATTCTGCTATTTGAATTTTATTTACGGCGGTAGATCGAGTAGGCCCCAGGAGACTATATAATCTGTGCAACAACGTGGGTGCATTTGGATTTATTTATCTATTAAGAATGTTAATCCCCCGTGAAACCTTCTATGCGATCGACACGATTTTACGGTGAGAGTTGCATAATGTTTCGCTATTTGGTGTTTTGATTGATTCGGTTGCAGAGATACGGAGGTCAGGCTAGACGTTTGAGTGAGAAGCATCTCAACTTTATAAGAATTATGTGAAATGGAATTGAAATTTATAAGAGACCTCTTCTTAAGTAGGGTAGGAGCCGTTGTGTGACCCACGGTGTGTTTATTTTTCCTTTATCACAAAACCACATATTCTCGATTCTCATGATATTCCGGGACCCCATTGTCTACGGATACAAATTCTGAAAGTTAGAATACAACCTTGTGCATTTGAAAAAAGTGACATATTCGTGTATACATTGTACAGAGTTCTTTAGCGAGATCTGCCAACTTGGAAGACCAAAATCTTGAAAACGCACTACCCGAATGATAATTATATTAATGAATACAGAAGAATTGTATGCGTATGTAGTGTAGCTGAAGGAAGAAATTAGAAGCACTGGGACCTGTATGTCTTCTGAGATAACAGTTACAACTGTCGGGGAAGTTAAGTACCTGGGGGTAATACTAGTCTCGAAACTGACCTGGACGCCACAGATCAAACGCATTAAAATGGGAGCTGATTCGACTTTAATGTTTTTCAGACTCTCTAATGGTAGAACATGGGGATCTAGTCCTTCCATGTTCTATGTCCAGTAAGACCCATGATAACGTTGCATCTCTGGTGTGGTGGCCAAAGATGAGACAACGCTCTATAACTGGATCGATTTTGAAAAACTACAAAGCATTTTCGTCCTTGGCATAATAGCTGTCTCGTGTGAAAATTCAGTACTTTTCGCTACAGTGCAGAGCTAGCTCACTTAGACACATTCATATCATGACCAAGCAATATATTTATTGTCCATAAATCATTCGAACATCATCTCTATAGAACGCCCTTGTTTTTCAGAATTTTCACTTAACCATGTACACGCACAGTTCACTCTAATGAGAGAAAATATATCTACATATATTGAGAATAATCGTATGTGCATATTCCACTAACCTATATTAATAATTTGAGCGAATGCTTTTAATGAGCCGTCACTAATGTGGGAACTTTTTATTGTGAAAAGTCCACTCGAACGCGTTTAAGAACTAACAACAAGTTTATTTCGTTGTATTGTTGATCTTCGTTGCAATGCCGGCCATATAGTAGAATAATACCCTAATAGTATAATTGTTCCCACGATAGAAAAAGTTGGAGAAGACAGCGCTATTGTTTTAAAATAAATGTGAAATTGTTATATCTGAAACCCATTTTTGCTTGTTGGGTACTAGGTAAATGCTGATGATTTCGATTGCTTGGAGCTTAATTCTAAATTACCAGTATACAACCCCAATAGATACAGCTTAATCACATTAAAGATTTTTTGGAAAATATTTAAAAAGAACACGGTAAACCTGTGCTTTAAGAGAATAATGTCAGTTCGCAATATCAAGTTCATTTTCAACATGCTGTTGTTTTTGCAATTAGGAGACAGGAGCTTTTTGGGGATTCTTACTAATTCTAATTCAGGATTTTTCAGAAACCTAGGCATACCATCTATTTGTATTAACAAATCCCTAAGAAAATGTTTGACCAACATCTAGACTGCTCGTCACCTTATTAAAACCTGTAAATATAATTGGTGTTTTGTGATACTTTTCAATTTGGAATATTACTACTTGGACTTTATACGTACGTATATAATATTCATCATTCAACGTTAACTTACTAAGAGCGAATAAACACGAATTAATGTTGTAATAATTATGAACAAAAACATTTTATTGTAAACAAACATCTGCGTAAATGCGCTTTAATAAGATTTGTTTCCATATTCAACTAGACAGAGATGTATGAATGACAACATGAAGTATTATTAGGCTGAATATAAAACTTGTATTTGAGTTTCAGAATGGTTGTGTTATGTAACCACCCGTTTGTTATGTAAATTGCATTGTTTTATTTTTTTATGCGCATCTTGCAGATGCTGAATGCAATAGAGTGGATGCGCACGTAATTTTGAAAGTACAAATTTGCGGAAAAAATGGCCATTGTTGCCTGCATGCTTACCAGGTATCCCCGCAACTGCGACTACAGAACCTTTGATTTTGGTTAAAACCTTGTAGTTCAGTCATAGAGAAACAATGTAAAAATGATAATAAAAGGAATCAGGGGCCGACCAAAAAGGAGGAAGTACGTCTGTTGGAGGTGCATTTAAATTAGCTTGTATTTGTTTGGACCAACGTAATAGAAGGTTGTCGCCGCGTATATTTGATAAGTCATACGAGAATACGTGGATGGATGACATTAGAAACAACATTAGTGACTGCGCACAGGGTTCTAGATTGTATTTGTATAATGTTTTTATGTAAAGATCAACTAACAAAATATTCTATAAAAATATGTGTTATATGGGGAAAATAACGACTTGGGGAGATTTTGGGATACTCACCTTCTCAATTTGAGTGAAAAATATTTAAAAAATCACTGAACTGTTATTTCTTTCTTTCAGATAAAACTAGAACGAGTACTAGGAGTGACAGTATCCAGTAACGCAGCTTTAACATGTGATAACAATGGACTCATTGCATATCCTGCAGGGTAAGTTAAGACATAGAAAAGAAGTTACATATCATCCATGAAATCTTATCATACATCTTTATGATTTTGCGCGATTAATTGCTGGTCGTGATTAAATATATCATTAACATTGATTAACACATTCTGCTTGAAGGTAGCCAACATAATACTCCAAAAAGTTATCCGAGGTAAAACAGGGTGGACTGAATAGTTTACAACCTCAACGTGAAGATGGCAGCACTCGTATAAATAAATGCTAGTGAATTTCGTTATACATCTGTTGACAGTTACTCACCAAAGTTTTAATAATTTTGGACGTGCAGTTGTTATGTAACAGTCGTTTGAGTGAGTTGATGCGAGTGTTTTAGTGACAACGGACAAAATCGAGTATCGAGCTGTCATTAAATATTTGTTTTTGAAAGGCAATACATCTATGCAAATCAGAGATGAGTTGGATTTTGTGTATGGAGACTCTACACTATCATTTACTACAGTGAAATTTTGGGCGCCAGAATTAAACGTGTCCGTAAGAGCTTGGGAGACGACCGACTTACCGGACGTCCAAAAACTGCAACTACCTACGAAAACATCGCCAAAATTCATCAAATGATGCTATACGACCACCGAATTAAAGTGAGAGGGATAGCAGAGGTTACGAACATGTCAAAAGAACGGTTTTGCCACGTATTAAATCAACATTAGGCATGAGAAAGCTGTCCGCGCGATGGATGCCGAGTTTGCGCACGTTAGACCAAAAACGTGTTCGAATTAACATTGCTCTGTTTGCGCAGCTTAGGCGCAATAAATCCGAGTTTTAGCGCAGATCAATTACTGTAGATGAAACTTGGATACACCATTATACGCCCGAAACAAAAATACAGTCCAAACAGTCGACTGCAAAGGGGGAACCGCCTCAAATAAAGCAAAAACTGTTTTTTATTTCGGCTGGGAAAGTGATGGCGACTGTTTTTTAGGATGGTCATCGAGTTATTTAAATCGATTATCGTCAAAAAGGAAAAACCATAACAGGTGCATACTATGCATCACTACTTGTCAAGCTGAAGGCAACGCTTGCGCAAAAACAACCACATTTTCAGAAAAAAAAACTCTTGTTTCACTAAGACAACGCACGTCTCACACTTCAGCGGTTGTCAGGGCGAAAATCCACGAATCACGGTTTGAACTGCTTGACCATCCGTCTTACTTACCGTCTAGTCCCAAGCGACTTCTTTTTGTTCCGAAGAGAAAAACGCCGAATACTATTTGACCGGGTCACAGAGATGGGAACATCGCTGGGAGAAGTGTGTAGAGTTACAGGAAGACTATGTTGGAAAATACAAAAAATCTGAAAAATGCCTTGTATGTTTGTTAGGCCGGAAACTTTTCAGACCACCCTCGTATTAACATGTGTCAATCCGGGAAGTAATCTAAATCATGTTGCAATAATTGAGGGTACCGTTCTGCAGTTAATGAGTTGTGGTAAATAAATGGACCTAATATTTTGGGCCATCGAACACACACAACACCACATATTAAACTCAACATTTCCTTAGGCCCAGAATTAAAGATACCATTATAAGTGGCCAAGCTCTCGTCAGGCCATACTATTTGTGAAGGGAAATTAAAATCTCATTCATACGTTCACAAAAGTGCTCGCCCAATCGCTATCCCTTGGTCTAAGTCTTTGGCAAATCCTGAATTTATACGAGTGATATCTATTTTTAAGAAAAATAAATTGGGCTGTGGATTTTTTTCATACTCTAACGATCACGAAGGCTTAAGGCCTAAACACCTTCATAACTAAGAAAACAAATTTAACTTGTGATGCATCGGTAAATTCGTAGAAAAAGATACAGGGTATACTGTTTCTCGGACCATATCAAAAATAAAGTTGATCGTAGTTTCTGTAAAACAACCGTCGGGCACATAATTTAAAAAAGTGCCAATGGCAAAGATTCATTAGTTTTCTGATATTCCTTAAAATAAAAAAATAAAATAGTTTCCGGCAATTTTTTTATTTTTTCCCAAATATCTCAGTAAGCCATGACATTTTTAAAAGTTTCTGAACGGCATGTAAATACACTCCGAAGAGCGCAACTTTTTCCTAGTTTAACCTAAGCTGTATCTCCCACCGGTATTGAGATCCCCATGCATGAGGTTCTTATCGTGACTACCCTGTATATACTTTGAAAATGTTAGTGTATAGAGAGCGCCATACTATGAGACGTTAATCTTTTAAAATATTATATACACTTTAGCAAATAGAAAAACGGCTGTGACAAATTCTCATATATGACGCTACGGTATCTCATCTTGCCTCAGACAATTTTTCTACCGCGGGAATATAGCATTAGGTTGGCTTTTCTCAGGCAGAATATGTTAATGTTATTGAACAGCAATTCGAAGTCTATTAGGAGATAATAGGATCCTTGCATTCTAGCTAGATGTGAAACTTTTGATCGCATTGTGTCTTCGGAACTGTGAAGGTGTTAACAAAAATTAAGGATTTCAGGACATTAATTTTCACATGCTATAAGTAGAACTTCGACTTTCAACCCCGTGGGAGTTTCACCATCCCCTATAATCCAATACGTAAACCAAAACCGCCAAACTGCTGCAGCGAACTGCCAACTGCAGTTTTCTTCGGCATTCGGCAACCCTCACCTACTTTCCGAGCCTTTATTTGAAAAAGTGTTCGACTACCCTCCACCCCTTCATCCCCCACTCCAAACGTCTTCGGCGCGTCCACTTCCGTTTAATCTTCCAAAACTCACCATTGTATGCTCTTGGAGCGTATCCAAATTCCCTGCGAGCGACTCAATCTCATAAAATGCCCATATATACGTAATGTTTCGGTGCATATACAGGGTGAGCTAAAAATAATAATATTAGCAGTCGGTGGCCGTCCCTATACGCTTAAGGTTAGTGTAAAGGGCGTGATGCTGAGTTTAAATTGGAGAAATTGTAAACGTTTTTCAATTAATGTATTCCGAATTTTATACTGTTCCTTGGTAAGATCAAACTTGAAATATGCCACAGTAGTATGTGGTCACCTCTGTGCCGGTCTTGCAAAGATTGAAGATACATTTGAGCATGACTGAATACCATAAAGCTCATATGTATGTATTCAACCATGTTACTACTATGCCAAGGTACGGAAAAGCTGTGTAGTTTTTGAAAATCGGTTTTGTGATGGCAGAGCTAGGAGCGAAAATACGAAAAATATGATCTCTCAAAGTTCGTTTTTTGACATTTCAGAAGTCCCTCAAGTTATTGGTGGATGGCGGTTGTAAGGGGTGTGGGAGGGAATATCTCAATTTTTTGATGCTAGTATATTTATAGATTTCCCCCTTAAAACTTGAAGAAATGTCAAACGGATATCGCTTCTAGGTCGCACTCTCCGAACATTACGAATTTACGCCAGTGCCAGTGCTCACAAAATATTGTCTGCATCTGCCGCCTAATCTAATCTTTCACGCCGCCGCACTGCTCGAGCCGGCAGAGCATGGCTGACGTTGCCAGATGGTCGATACGAAGGGCATGGAAGGAGTTTCTAGATCGCAGCGTTATAAAATGGGTGGGACTATGGACTAATTGTATGGGCCTGTTTGCCTCACTTCAGCACTTTTTGTGTGTTATACATTGAATGATAGAGAAATGTTTTTGATACGCGTTTCTGCTTCTGCTCCCTGGGTTTATCGGCGGGCGTGCCTGTCTCCTTCCATTACTTCCGTAGCGCCGCGCTGCCACGTCGTTCTGATCGGTATTCAGAAAGGGCGACGTTGCCAGATGGACGGTACTAACGGTATGGCAGGGGAAGAATATCATTGGACCACTTATTGTATGTGCCTGCTTGACTGGCTGAATCCGCTTAATTTCTCTGTTGTACATGTTCGTAGCTAACTTTTTTGTCAGATGGCTCAACTTGTGCCGAACATAATAATTTATGAACTGATGACGCCGTTGCTTGGAAAGTACAGAAACAACTTACTTGACACCTATTACTTTCCAACAACTGCATCATCCTTGAAACACGAATACAAACATTTTATCGCAGATACATTTTGTTACTTCCCACATATAAATAACTGTAGTGTTGGGATTTTCCACAGTCAGGTTACGAGTCTTATTGATATACTAAGTGACATATAAATCCGAACACCCAGTTTAAATGGTTTTATTTTAATAAAAGTTGGTGAATGTATTTATCTTACTGTAAATAACAAGTGAAAAAATTTTCAGCCTTCTCAGTTGGACATTCTGGTTTTTATACTGCTTTTTTTTAATTCACTAACGGTCTAAAAATGAATATTTCAGCCGCAGTAAAGAATCAACGTTGGCGGATTTTGGTTCTTGACATCCTTTACGATCGGTTACGATGCCTAGAGTACGGAGACCTGTACGATTTCGTCAACTTAGTGAGTTTGATAGGGGCCGTATAGTGGGACTTCGGGAAGCTGGACTTTCTTTTCGGGCAATTGCAGTTAGAGTGCAAAGAAGTGTAGACACTGTGGTTAGGTGTTGTCAGGTATGGCTTCGAGAAGGCCGTACGCAAAGAGCAAGGGGCACTGGACGCCGCCGTAGAACAACAGACCGTGAAGATCGCCGCCTAAGATTATTGGCCTTAAGGGACCGTTTCTCCACTACCAGGTCCATTGCAAATGAATGGTTTGCAGCGTTATATCCACGAAGTTCTAGAACCCCATCTTTTACCCTATCTTGACACCCTGGCAGATCCAACTTTCCAACAAGATAATGCCCGACCACATGTTGCAAGAGTCACAATAGACATATTGATGTCACATTGTTACCATGGCCACCAAGATCTCCCGACCTATCCCCAATTGAGCACGTGTGGGATATGATGGGTAGGAGGTTGCTCAATTTGCAACGTCCTGCTCAGACTCTAGAAGCACTTCGAGAGGAGTTAATGGTTGCCTGGAATGAGATAACACAGGAGGACATTGACCACCTGATCAGAAGCATGCCTAGACGCGTTGGAGAATGCGTCACACATCAGG